TTTTTTTTTTTTTTGGAAAATTAAAAAACAATTGTAGCTTTTTTGCCCATACCTAAAACCTCATCAAACCAAAATGCTTGGGACCCACCTCACATGCGGGAAGTTTTGACCCACTACCCTTTAACGATTTCCGCATGATCCAACGCTCCTGAATTCACTCGGTCAATCTCAGTACAACAAATCTGGACCGTCCATTTTCTGGACCACCACCTTAAATACCTCAAGTTGTCGGTGTCTGTTCCATGTTCCCTCATCTCACTTCAGTCGACTCATTCATGTCTCTCATGTGACCGACAAATTCACTTACAACCCGTGTTCTGGGACCATCCTACGCCAAACGCGCGTAGAACACACGTGCCACCTCACTTTTCACTCTTACCCGTTTTATTTAAATCTTTAAAAAAAACTAAACTTGTTATTCTAATATGTTATATACTCCCTTCCCTTCGTTTTAATTTATGTGTTCCTATTTGATTGAGTACGAAATTTAAGAAAAAAGAGAAGATTTTTAAACTTATAATATAAAATAAGGCACATATTTTGTGTGACTATTAAAAGAAAACAAGTTCACATAAATTGAAATGGAGAGAATATGTGTTTTTGTTGCATAATTGTTTAAATTAAATAGCCCAAAATTTGTATAAGGGATCATTTTTATGAAAATATACTCTTTCCGCTTTAATTTGTATGGTGGCTTTTGATTGGGTAAGGAATTTTAGAAAGAAAAAGAGAATTTTAAATTCTATAATTTTGAATGTTTCGTATTATTTATATGACTATAAAAGTATGTTATTAGATAAAATGATAAATTTTTAAAATTTATAAAGTGCATATTTTAAATTAAATCCATAAGTAAAGAGTATTAAGTAGATGGACCAGAAAAAGTGCTAAAAAGATAGTCACATAAAATAAATTGAGAGAACCAACACAGGGGCAGATTTAGGATTTCTAGTACATGAGTATATTACTAAAAAAAGGAGAAAAAAGTGTATTAAGTGAGAATTTATCTCTATTCTCTTGTTAAATAAACTCAACCTTCAACTAAGTTCACCATCCGGCCTTCATAGAGCATGAGTGCCAACAATTGATATTATACCAATTTTAAAAAATATGTACGTAAACTATCTTATTTTACATAAAAACTATGGGTTCACGTGCCCCATAATCTCTGAACTAACAAGGATTGTGGTCCAATTCATCCTAACTAAATTTCTCGAGTTCAAGTAGTTAAAAAGAATTCTAATATGAAGTGCTTTCCTCCTTTAATAGCCCTTATAAGATACAAATTTAAATTATTTGGGACTCGAAAGCGAATACCTAGTGGGCGTTTGGACATAAGAATTGTAAAATTTTAAAAAAATAAAAAAATAAAAATTTATGTGAAAATGATATTTAAAAATTAGAGTTGTGTTTGGACATGAATATAATTAATTTGTAGGGAGCGCGTGGGTAGAAAGGGCGTGAAGAAGTAATAATTGGCGTGTTAGGAAATTCATGCACAGAGAGAATAAGTCGTCTACGGATTGTCTCTCTTTAATCATCCTATAAAACATTGAGTCCTACGTTCCCTTCTCATTCATTATTCACAACAATTGCAAACTATTCTTCATCTCGTTTTTTTTAATTTGTCATCGGAACTACTTCAAGATTTCATCGGAAAACTCACAAACAAATAAGTTATCATCCAAGAATAGAAATGGCAGCTGTAACGTACGAGAAAGATGATCTGAATTTAAAGGCAACTGAGCTAAGATTAGGTTTACCTGGGTCAGATGATCAACACGAGAAGCCATCATCTTCTACTAATTTTGGTGCTAAAGTTAGCAACAAAAGACTTTCATCAGAGATGGATAATGGAAATACTGATGAGCCCGTGCCAAAGTAAGTCAATTTATGTGACAATATTTTCTTTTAGAATATTTTAATGATGTATTAACAACTTTTGTTTTGATAATTCTCAGAGCACAAGTTGTTGGTTGGCCACCAGTTCGATCTTACAGAAAGAATGTTTTACAAGCAAGCTACGTGAAAGTGAGCATGGATGGAGCAGCTTACCTTAGAAAAATTGACCTTAATCTTTACAAAAGCTACTCACAATTACTCGAGGCTTTAGAGAACATGTTCAAGTGCTCCATTGGTAAGTTAATATTTCAAAATTTAGAGAGCGAATTCATTAGATGTATATATGTTGTCCTTTTGTTCCAATTTATATGTCAAATTTTGACCGTATATTAGGACGCAGAATCTTAATTTTGACTGAATTCTGACATAGAATCTGTTTTTTTGGAACAAAATTTGCATATTTGAAAATTATGTAAAAGTAATACAAGTCACAATAATAACAGTTCAAAATAATTAAAAGACATATGAAATTTTTTATGATCAACGAAAAACTTGTTTGAAACTTTGTACACCGCCACATCAATTGGACGAAAGTACTTTTTTTTTTCTACATACATACATAGATTGAGCTGAAAATAATGAATCAGTTGAATCCACATAATTAACCCGCCATAGATCTGCCTCGCATTTAGTCCTATATGTAATCGTACCTGCTGGATCAAAGTCTTACCTTTTCTTTTTTATTTATGAATTTCAGGAGTATACTCAGAAAGAGAAGGTTACAATGGATCTGATTATGTACCAACTTATGAAGACAAAGATGGTGATTGGATGCTTGCTGGGGATGTACCTTGGGATATGTTCATCAACTCTTGCAAAAGACTTAGAATTATGAAAGGATCTGACGCTAAAGGTTTAGCATCTTTGTAGACAGTGACGAATCCAGAATTTAGACGATGTTTTCGTGTCTTGCGTTCGAAGAGTTCTAAAATGTTTATCTAACTCTATGTACTTGTGTTTTCACGACACATAGTATAAGGTTCGGCCTCAAAGTACTGGATTAGATCTGCCTAATCTTCAAACTCATTGTTGGATCCGTCATTTCAGAAAGACTAAGCCTGTGAACTCATTGTTGTATCCGCCGCTACGTATAAAATCCTAAGCCTAAGCTGGGAAATATACTCAGATCTGCAATCAAATCAACGTGAACAAGAAAGAGAGAAGGCTGGGGATTTATATCTCCATGGTTTTAGTCTTGTATAGAGAATGTATAGCTTCAGTTTTTCTTGTACAAAGAGTTTTTTGTATTTGTTTTTTTGAAGAATTTGCTATATATTTTCAAAGAGTATATACATATACATATACAATATGGGGTCAGAGATTAAAAAATTAGCGCAATATCAAATGTTATGTTGAATGTTAATTGCTAAACTGAATCCGAGAAAAGCAGTAAATCATTTAAAAGCTCAATTAGTATTGTAGTTTTTTTGGCCAAAACAAGTGTTGTAATACGGAGTTATAAGCGCAATTTTTTTTAAGGGTATACTCAATTTTAGAGTAAACGTAATTTTCCCATAAACATTTTAAAAATGTATGACTAGAGCAATTACCACAAAACTACTCAAGCAATAGAAGACAACTAAAAAAGTAGAACTCTATTCAAAATGTAATTTATTTCTACCCTCTTAATCCCTCCAGTAAAAGATACTTCCTCAGTTCCAATTTATATGTCTTACTTTTCATTGTATAATGACAGCAAAGGCGTATTTACAAGCTAGATTATAGGGCATGTGAACCCATAGTCTTTGCCAAACTACGTATTTTATGTATGTATTTTTCTAAAATTATTCTAATATTATTTGTTGGTATTCATACTCCAAAAAGACTGAATGGTGCACTTGATAGAATACTAAGTTATTTATCCAAAGGAATAGGGATCGATTCTCACTTAATACTTTTTTACTCCTTTCTTTAGTGGTGTATCGATGTTCTAAATATCCTAGATCCGCCTCTGAATAACAGTAGTAAACGAAGGTTACAGGTTGGAGGGAAGTAAACTGTTGTGTATTGTTAGTGTTAAAGAGAGAATGAATGATAGCAATACAACATTTCCAAATGTTACAATTTTGGATTGAAGGGTATAAAGAGAATTGAAAATGAAAAGTTTGTAACATTTGTATATACCTAAGAAGCTACTGATCAACTACTCTGATCTTCGACTATCTTTATGACTGCTGTACACAGGTAACAACAACATGGAGCTAATGTTCCTTCTCCCATAACATCGCCAACAAACCACAAGTATCACAGCTATCACACAAATGTGAATTGCCCATCTGCAGCACCAAACAAGTGAAACTTTTAGAAACCAAAATATTAGAATATCCTCAATCGTCATTAAATCCGCTGCTATAACACTACTTCCTCCGTTTCAGTTTATATTGCAATGTTTGACTAAACATGGAGGTTAAGGAAAACACAAAAAACTTTTGGCACATACAAAAGGACCCTCAGTTTTTGTCATCTCAAACATCCCATGACATTTCTACGACTATAAGAGTATGTCTTTAAGGGTAGAATGAGAAATTTAAAGAGTTTAAAAAAATAAAAAGATCATTCTTTCAGAAACATACTAAAAAGTTGGCGTAACTGGTAAAGTTACACCATGTGATCAGGAAATCATGGATTCGAGCCGTGGAAACAGTCTAGAGAATACTACGTACAATAGACTCTTGTGGTCCGGCCCTTCCCTGGACCTTGTGCATAGCGGGAACTTAGTCCATCGGGTTGTCCTTTACTAAAAAAGAAATGTCATATAAAATGGAACGGAGAAATTACTTTTACTTCAAGACTACAAAACTAAAATTCTTTTACAGTTTGAGCTTCAAAATGAAGTAACTACAAAATGTGCCTAGTTGTCATATGACAATGATACACAAGGATGGCCATATCTAACACATCATGAATGACAATAACAGAAAGCAACTCTGCTTAATGGCTCCTACAATACTCTTGTACTATGCTTCGTAGAAACAGAAAATTAGAAATTCACAAAGATACTTAAAAATGATACTAAATTTAAGCAATAAAAGGTAAAGTTAGTTCACCTGTCCAGATCAAGGATAGGATTATACACAAGTGTTTCCCAAGTTGCTAGAAAAGAATGCCAGACTGGATTGTAGTAAAGTGACTCAGCGGACCAAAACATCCTTGTATATGTTTCTAAGAAGATAAAAAGTATCCATGCGCCAATCTCGACCAAAAACAACTTTATAACGAACCGCCCTAACACCACCATAACAAGTGAGAAAACCACCAGCCAATTAAATAGTCGCTGATTGTATTCCTTAATGAATAATGATTTTGATTTCCTCAACATCTGCATAATTATAAGATATATACATTTTTTACTGCTGAGAGTAGGTTACATTAAACACAACAATTAAAAATAGTAATAAAAAAATCCAATGATGAAGTTAGAAAGAGCTAAAAACTAAGTGTGGGAAAACCTTCATCATTCGCTGTTCATAGTTGCTTTTAGAAGGTCCGACACATTCTCTTGCAAAACTTTGGTTGCATTGGAGGAAGCCAGCGTTGAATTTTGCCATTGAAGGAAGCCTGAGGGTTTGAAGTTCGTCCATTTTGTCTTCACATCTAGTATAAAAAGCCTCACACACCTTTGAGGATTGATATTCATTTGCCAACATGATATTCTCATACTCCTGCAAATACATGAAATTAAGCAAAATTTATAGGGATGCATAAAAACCATGCTTTGCTACTCTAAATCTTAACCTTTTTAATCTCCTCTTCCATTTGATCAACTGATCTCCTTGCATGCTGACGACCAAAATGCTGTTCGTCAAAAACTTTCATTGCAGCATCTCTCTGCTCTTCATGAGCTTTTTGCAAAGACTCTGCTCGCATAGGTAAAACCGTGTTAGCCATCTGGTCAGTGTACAGTTTTAGACATTGTTCTAAGATACCCTTGTTAAAAACCTCCACAAGGGAACCCGTCGCTGGGATCTCTCCTTTATTCAAGGCATCAAGTATCTGACACCAATTTACCATTAAAGAGACAGGGTTAGAACAATCGCATCAGTTCTCAAAAAGCAGTTGAACGGAAAGAAGGAAAGTTAACAGATAAGAGACAAAAACCTGCTCAAGAAATGATACGAACTCCTTTCCATTGAGAGATTTACCCTGGACAATCTTTGGACGAATAATAGATGCTACAACTTCTTTCAAATGCTCCCTCTTCTTGACATAATCAGGATCCAGCTCAGCGTCCTTCATGTGACAAAGCTTCGTACGCTGAAGATGAGGCTGCAGAAAAGCTAAGAGTGTTGATGCATCATTCCAAGTTCTAATAAGAAAAATGCTTAGCTGACAAGANGGCTAAGCTCCTCGTGTTTCTTGATGAACACTAAGTTGGAATTGTAATATAGATAGCTTAACCACAGATACACCTGCTTACGGATATTTAAACAAATTCTAGTACAAAGAATTTATTTGTTTTCCCCTTCCCTACTATCCCAAACCTTCCTCCACCCACACCTACCTCCAAAAACAAGAAGATTATCTAATCTATTTTGGAGCAACAGAATTGTTGGAGAGACAACAACTGCTAACCATAAGAAGAATAATGAAGTGCCTGGTGTCTACCACTAGGTAACAAATAACATCAAGAAATTAGTATACAGGAATAATATAAGAGCATACAAAGAAAAAAATCAATGAACAAAGATTGATGTCTAAATGAATCCAAGTCAACTATTGTCATTGCGGTAAGTTGTGAATTACAAAATCAAGAAGAAAAGATTGATGCATTGTACGGGGTAAATTATGTTCATATTTAATGATCGCATGAGAAAGCGACATGTGGAACCGAAGACAGAGGATAGCCAAACCTGGAGGCAATGATCCCGCTTGTCATCGGAGAGAATGATACTCATAAAGACAAAATAAATGTCGCCATCTGGTAGTATTCAATGAAAAATATTTACAGCATTAAGTGCATGATCCGTTACAGAGAATATGACATTCACTGTCCACCGTTACACATTCTTCAATGGCCATCATAATTGTCATTAAAGAGGAGCTTAATCCTAGGACCTTGTTTCCTAGGTATAACTATAAATAGAGAGCTCTATCATCATGGTAAAGACACGAATTTTCTGACAAACAGACACTATACTTCATCAAAAGCTCAAATAACATTTTACTTTCTTGTTTATGTGCATTGTTCTTATTGCTCCTGGTAGCTTTGCGTTCGGAACCAAGATATCTGTCGTTTATCTCGATTTTATGGCTAAGTCTTATATTTTTGTCTAATTTTTTGGATCAAATTAATTCACTTGTCTATAAACCACATATAAATTTAACTATACCGTTTTACGGGTAATAATTCATAGCAAAGGTAAGTTCATACTTGTGGTAAGCTGAAGGCGGTGCTATTGTCGCCCATTACAGCTAACGAATCTCGAATCTGATTCACCTGATATGATGAAACGAACAAGTAAAACATACCTATTTATGCAAGTATCTTTATAATTTGCAGAATGCAGTATATAGAAGTACCTTATCAATATTTTTATTACCTGCAGAAACATAAAGATAAAACCATAGTTAACTTTTCAATAGACACTAAAGTTATTTATTATACGTGCAAATAAAGATAAGCGAACCAACCATCACTATTGGGGACTCGTTGCAGAGCTTCGTTGACCATTTCTTGCACAGATTTTCCTTCTGTTGATAGTAACAAATAGATTATATTGGAGGCTGTATTCCATAAACACACGACATCCACATTTATTAAAATGCAGTTAGGAACATATATGGCAATTTTTCTCGACTTACGTAGAAAATCACGCTGGATAAGCCATAGGAGTTTTGCAGGTTCGAAAGCGACGCCTTGCCCCTACACAACATCCACCCCATAAGCATGTCACTTATCTTGTTAAGAATCTGTTTCTTCCTTTCTTTCTTTGGCCCTTTGTTGAGGTGAAAGATAAATCAAAGATAAATGCTTACCTTCACTCTGGAAAGTGATGAACATCGATGAAACAACATAGTCAGAAAAGAAAAGAGGCTGTGAATAACTTAGAAACAAAAAAGTCATAACATGAGACTGAAAACTTTTGAAACAATTGATTAAAAATTGGACCTTCCATAGAACTCTTCAGCAAGTTCATGTGCAAATGACAGTCGGGATATGTCAGCTTCACGGATCTAAAACATAAAACAAATGCACAAAACACCATTAAGGAAGTCGATCTTTCTTGTACCGAGAGGCTAGTATATAAGCTTCCGCCCATAGAGTCACAACCTGAAGCATATTAATTAAGACACCAATATTCAA